CCCCCCCTCCCCAGCCCCCTTCCGGGGTGAGTGAGGCTACCACAGGCGTCTTTTCCCCTAGTGCTCTCCCCGGGGGAACGCAGAGCTTGAGAACAACGCCCAACACAGAAGAGAGCAATGGCAGCGTAGCCTCAGCTTCTACCACTTCCTCGGGGGTAACACCCAGCCCTACCTCACACGGTAGTAGTACCATGCACGCTCCCGCCTCAACCACAGTATCCACAAGTGCTCTCTCCCGCGAGACAAGCAGCCTTCCAACTCGACACAGCTCCCCCGCAGGCCCAAACGGCACAGTAGGCCATGTGAGTTCCAGCACAGCATCCGCCAGTACTGCCTCGGCAGAAGCACAACTCTCCCCAAACACGCCCAGCCCGACACGCACTGCACACACCCATGTACCCCCACACAGCCCCTCCACACAGACCACTTCCGGGGTGAGTGAGGCTACCACAGGCGTCTTTTCCCCTAGTGCTCTCCCCGGGGGAATGCAGAGCTTGAAAACAACGCACACCACGGAAGTGAGCGACGGGAGGGTAACCTCACGTTCTACCACCTCTTCGGGGGTAACACCCAGCCCTCCCTCACAGGCTAGTAGTACCGTGCACGCTCCCACCTCAACCACAGCATCAACAAGTGCTCTCTCCCGCGAGACAAGCAGCCTTCCAACTCGACACAGCTCCCCCGCAGGCCCAAACGGCACAGTAGGCCATGTGAGTTCCAGCACAGCATCCGCCAGTACTGCCTCGGCAGAAGCACAACTCTCCCCAAACACGCCCAGCCCGACACGCACTGCACACACCCATGTACCCCCACACAGCACCTACACACAGACCACTTCCGGGGTGAGTGAGGCTACCACAGGCGTCTTTTCCCCAAGTGCTCTCCCAGGGGGAATGCAGAGCTTGAGAACAACGCACACCACGGAAGTGAGCGACGGAAGCGTAACCTCACATTCTACCACATCTTCGGGGGTAACACCCAGCCCTCCCTCACAGGCTAGTAGTACCGTGCACACTCCCACCTCAACCACAGCATCCACAAGTGCTCTCTCCCGTGAGACAAGCAGCCTTCCAACACTACACAGCTCCACTGCAGGCGCAACCGGCACATTAGGCTATGTGAGTTCCAGCACAGCATCTGCCATTACTGCCTCGGCGGAAGCAGAACTCTCCCCAACCACACCCAGCCCGACACACACAGCACACACCCATGCACCCCCACACAGCACCTACACACAGACCACTTCCAGGGTGAGTGAGGCTACCACAGGCGTCTTTTCCCCAAATGCTCTCCCCGGGGGGACGCAGAGCTTGAGAACAACGCACACCACGGAAGTGAGCGACGGAAGCGTAACCTCACCTTCTACCACATCTTCGGGGGTAACACCCAGCCCTCCCTCACAGGCTAGTAGTACCGTGCACACTCCCACCTCAACCACAGCATCCACAAGTGCTCTCTCCCGTGAGACAAGCAGCCTTCCAACACTACACAGCTCCACTGCAGGCGCAACCGGCACATTAGGCTATGTGAGTTCCAGCACAGCATCTGCCATTACTGCCTCGGCGGAAGCAGAACTCTCCCCAACCAAACCCAGCCCGACACACACAGCACACACCCATGCACCCCCACACAGCACCTCCACACAGACCACTTCCAGGGTGACTGATGCTACCACAGGTGTCTTTTCCCCAAGTGCTCTCCCCGGGGGAACGCAGAGCTTCAGAACAACGCCCACCACAGTAGAGAGCGATGGCAGCTTAGCCTCAGCTTCTACCACCTCCTCGCGGGTAACAACCAGCCCTCCCTCACAGGCTAGTAGTACCGTGCACGCTCCCGCCTCAACCACAGCATCCACACGTGCTCTCTCCCGTGAGACAAGCAGCCTTCCAACACTACACAGCTCC